AGCAAATTATGGTCTCGTCGGAAATGGACGGCTGTATGCGCTGGAGCTGACAGCTCAAGGCATCGTGCCTTTGAAAGTGTACTGAGTTCTGACTCGATGAATGAGGAATATTTGAGCTAATCGATTCATCAGCTACCCTACACAAGATGCCCTCTACGATGTAACGCACTCTGAAGCCCATAGCTCCCATCTTCTCACTGCATCTGGAGATGGCGCACTCCGACTCTATGACACCTCCCTCGCTCCGGAATTTCCCATTGCAAAATTCGAAGAACATTCGCGGGAAGCCTTTTCGTGCAGTTGGAATCTCACGTCCAAGGCAACCTTTGCCTCGTCATCCTGGGACGGAAGTGTCAAGATATGGAGCCCCGAACGGCAGCAGAGCCTGCTAACACTACCGACCCATTCCTGCACGTACAGCGTCCAATGGAGTCCTCATACTGATGGGATGCTGAGCGCGGTATGCTCCGACAGCCATCTACGGGTGTGGGATTTGAGAACCCCGGCCAGTGCTAGTAACCATCTCATATTACAAATCCCTATTCATGCGGCACCCTTGTCAGTGGGCGCTGGAGTCGGGAAGATCCAACCGACCTTCCCACCTGCTGAAGCACTCACCCACGATTGGAATAAATACCGCAGCACAGTCGTCGCCACGGCCGGGGTTGACCGCATCATTCGAACATTTGATATCCGGCAGCCCAAGGGCCCCCTTCATTTGTTACAGGGACACGGCTACGCGGTGCGGAAAGTTGCATGGAGTCCACACCTCCCGGACCTACTACTCAGTGCCAGCTATGACATGACCTGTCGTGTCTGGACGGATGGAGGGGAGCAGGGAGGTCCCGCCAGAGAGCTCGGTACGATGGGTCGTCATACCGAATTCGTGACAGGGGTCGACTGGTGTTTATTCGGAAGTGAAGGATGGGCTGCCAGTTGTGGTTGGGACGAGCTTCTCTGTGTCTGGGATGTGCGAACAGTCATGCGTCCTTGATGAGAGACGCGTATTACGCTGCAAACTGTGTACTCGAAAACGAGGGTCTCATTGGATTGGGTTTCACGACAGGCGCCACATTCAGGATTGGCTAACAGAATATTCTTCCTACGAGTGAAACAAAACAAAGCATGACGCCTCTCCCTACAATCATCAACATCAGTTCGAAGTGGATATGACAGATACCCAATCTGAAACTCTTATGCATCATGGCTGATCTGACCCGGAATCAAGGTTCATCGCCGACTTATGTTACATCTTGCAACTCGAACAAGGCTTTCAATCGAGTCTCGACCTGTCGTTCGGCAGACGCTGGTCGGAATGAGAAGATGGATAACAAAGGATTGCCTTGCAGTTTAGTCCCGAGCATCTAATCTCTTTTCCTCGCTTTCCGCCAACGGCTCCAACCAATCGGAGTGCCAAGACCTTCTCGAAGTCATGGATGTTTGTCGATCCTCGACGTCTCTTCAACTTTTCTTTTTGCTTTCGTGCTCAACATCTACGCCTTGATAGGTGCTGGCAGCAAACCTTATCTCGGCCACCCTTGTCGCTAGGGCGATTCCTTCACATTGCTTCTTCACACTCCGTGTCCCTGAGAGCCTCATCCCTGACTCCTAGCATCTTATGCAGCCGCTGGTCTGGGGAAAGGTCCGGGATTGACCACTGATGTTCTCCGTTTCGAGTGCGGCGGGTACCTGCTTCAAGCGGAGCAGGGCTACGTGGTTGATCGTTCCCTGTTGGCATCCTGGTCGGCCGAGGTTGGACACCCACTCTTGTTAAGCATATCGCATGCTGGGACAAACATCTTTTCCATTTCAGCTTGAAGCGGTGGAAATGATTGTTGAAGGATCATGTGGACTCTTGTTTGTGTTACAAAATCTGCACGTCGAACACTGGCGCCGGATCCCATAAAGGTTCGGCGCCACCCTTGAATACTATTTAAGGGTACGCGCAACCGTCGTTGACGAGACATGATCGAGGACTACGAGAAGGACTATTGGAAGAAGACATAGAGCTACCTCATAGCCTCACTATCCTATTGCTATTGCATATCACGGTCTCAAGCATCTCTTGATCGTATCCCACAAGCCCACACTCTGACAGCACGCAGACACAACGATGCAGCTCCCCAAGGTTCGATAACAGATTGGTGTCTCGTCCCAGCTTCTAATATACTCCCAGGCGCTAGCCAGTCTTCTCCTCGTCGCTCTGACTCCCGTTGTCCTCGCCCTTCCACCTGGACTCACGCCCAGCAAACAGCCTGTGACCCCGTCCTTCTGGCCTCGCGAATTCCACGCTGCCCCGACGAAACGCCAACAACAATCCTGCGCCGAGACTTGCGGCGGCGTGTGCTACTTCCAGACGACCATCGACGCCGCCGTGGCCAAGGGCTTCTCGCTCCACCAGGCCGGCCAGACCGAGGGCTCCGACGACTACCCGCACCAGTACAACAACTTCGAAGGCTTCGACTTTTCTGTCAGCGCGCCGTACTTTGAGTTCCCCATCCTCGACACCTTCAAGGTGTACAATGGCGGGTCGCCGGGGCCGGATCGTGTCATTTTTAATGACGATGGTGACTATGCGGGTGTCATTACGCATACGGGCGCCAGTGGTGACGATTTCGTCGCGTGTGAGGGGGATTTGCCCTAGATAAGCTCGTCGTGTCGTGTCGTGTCTTCTCTCGTCTCGCAAGGACCAAAGTTGAAGGTTGAGATGCGGGTCGAACGGCAAAGAGCGGTTTCGCGACTAGGCTTTCAGATCCTGCGTTCGGATGCTACATTCAACGGAGCGGAGCAGAGTAGAGCAGAGAGTATCTAGGGGTTTCCAGTATGGGCACGAACTCTATGTTGGGTGTTTGGACAAAGTGATGTGTAAGCGCAATAGGATGGCTGTTACATACGAGGCTCCTGATGGGTCTCTCCTCTGACTCTTTGCTGTGGGTATATGGCATTAGACTAGTTAGTCCATGCTAGGGAGCAGTAGAATGATTTCGTTCTGTTCCTCTATCGCAACAAGTCTAATGTACGTAAGGTATATCCCGCTATGCTTGGTTCCCCTATTCGCCAAATATGCATGTATCGTAAAAATAGGAGGAGAAGAGAGTAACGACGAAGACGAGGACGAAGACGAGGACAAGGACAAGGAGGACCATGCAACCACCCTCACAAAGTCTTCACTGACTCACGCTGCTTTGACCCCGTATCCATGTTGTAGCCCACCACCGCCACATCAATTAATCGTGTTCTCGTAGTATGTCATGTAGCCAGCAGCTGCTCTCCAGAGGCAACACATCACGCACCGCACCGCACCACCGGGAGAAATGAGAGAGACTCGTCTTGCTTGTAGGGATTTTCCACCTCTTAAAATGATAGCGGGCATGAATCTTGTTGATAGAAAGGAGAGCTTTTCGTGTTTCTTTGTCCATGGTATGATGAACGCGGAACCCACGTTGCCCGGTCCAGTCGCAGAGGGAGGCCGAAGTGGGTTGTGCATTCCAGAGCCCACTCCCTGTCCCTCTCCCTCTCCCTCTCCGGTTGGGTGAACTTCTGGTCTTTTTGGAAGGAGTTGGATTTTTCACTTCTCGCCCAACCGATTCTCCACGCCCTCTCTGACCTTCTTCCTCACTTCGGCCAGTTCCTCCTTGCTGGCGTCGTACCGGACGTTGCCGGACTGGTTGAAGGGGTTCTCGTCTGACTTTTCAAACTCCTTCTTGATGAGCTCGATCTTCTGGTTGCGGCGCAGGCCCGGGCGCTCCTTGTCGATCTCGGGCAGCCGCCGCTCCTCGTACGCCTTGTATGCAGCCGGGAACCGCCGCTCCGGGTGCCTGTCCAGCTTCATGTCGTGGGGGGAGCTAGTCGTCAGGGACAGGGCGTCGAGCGCGTTGTCGATGCCGGACGCGTTGAGCGCCCTCTCCTTCCCGCCGGCGCCGTTGTTGTCGTCGAGCTGCGCCAGGTCCAGCGTGCCGCGGCTCTTCTTCTCGGCCGTCTTCTTGTTCGCGCCCTTGGGTTTGTCTCTCATGCCCTTCTCTTCTTCTGCGAGCATTGCCTCCCGCTCCGCCTTCTTCGCCGCTTGTTCGGCTGCCTTTACCGCGGCGGCCTGCTTCTTCGACGTGTCCTTGGCTCCTTGTTGCCATTTCTCCTCTTCACGGGCGGCCGCAGATGCGTTGGCGGCTGCTTGCTTCTGCGCTGCCGCTTCGGCCTTGCGCGCGTTCCCCGCGACTTTCTTGGTGTTTTCGCCTTTTCCTTTTGGCGCCATCGCTGCTTCTACTTCTGCTCTTGTTGTTGCTGTTGCTGCTGCTGCTTGTCCGAAAGGTATGCGGGTGCTGGTGGGGTTAGCGGCGGCGGCGGCAGTGTTGGTGTTGTAGTAGTTCCCCTCGCAGCGGGGTTGAGGGGTCGAGAACGCCCTGGAGTCGAGGTACGCTTTGGTGGTGATGTAGGTGGTAATGTTGACAATCACGAAAATGCGGATGAATTGGGTAGGGGAGAAGATGAATGGATTATGAGGCATACATACAAAAAGCGAAAATGTGGGCGAATATTAATTATGCAAGACTCTCTTGTGGCTCGACTGGATTGGAGAATCGGAATAGGCACAACTGGTGCCAACGCAGGACAGTCACGGTTATGACTCCTCCGACTTACTTGGTGGTCGCCTTGCGCATTTTCCATCATATACTAAAAGTCGCCTTTTGATCTCTATAAACCGTATTATGATGTAATAATATAACACGGCTTGAAAGTTTGTTCCAACGCTGGACTCGGACCCTGAGAATTTGGAAGTGGTACTGTACAGTAGATTCTCCTGCGGGATTGTGGCTGGTATCAATTGTTGCTTTGCAAAAGCCCTTCCCATAACCCCCGCCATTACCAGGCCAGGCCCAGCCCATAAGCACCAAGAGGGTATCATATCTAGAAAAGCTCCTGGACTCCCAACGGAGTAACCTGCACACTCTCACGGGACTTGGAGGGAGAATGTATGCATGACCTGAACGCCGTCGCTTAAGACCTCAAATCAACCTCAAAGGCGTCCTCATCCCAGCGAAGCCCTGTCTCATGAACTTGTACTTGTTTGGCACAGTCTGGAGGCGTCGAAACGCCTCTCTGACATGCTTGGGCTCGACAGGTGTCCTGCCTTCCTCGGGCATCTCGAACAAACTGCAACCTTCCCGCTTCCGTTTCTTCGACGCGTCCCGATCGCCTCTGCCACCATTCAATTTCTTGTTCGCCATATCTTCGGCAGCTTTGACCTTCAAGGCCTCCTCTGTGAGAGTCTGGACAATCTCAAATGTCAAGAAGCCGAGAATATCAACTGCATCGTCATTTGGTCTGTTGTCAATGATGGTACCGAATCCTGCCCATTCGCGAAATCGTTTGCCCTTGCGGAATGTGAAACTAGCTTGACGGCAGTCGGACCAGTATACATATTCATCCTTGGTCATGTTCTTGGTACGTTCGTCAGCGGAAGCGAGGCGGGCGAGTGTGGCTTCATTCTGCTCCTCTTCCTCCTCGTCTTCCTCATCGTCTCTTTCCGGTACTTGCTCAACGTAGAACGACTGGATCTCCCAGGGCAAGACTAGTTTGGCTTTCTTGGTCGTGGTAGTTTTCTGTGGAGCAGATGGGTTGACACCTCCTGATGCCTAAGGGCGCATGCATTCAGTCATCTCTCCATGAAGTGACAGGCGTAAGAAATACCTACCTCGTCGAAATCGCCAACTTCAGCAGCGTCGCCTCCACCTTTGTCATCTGAATCTTTGACATTCTTGCGGACATCCTTCCAAGAAAGAAAGGTCTTGAGTCTGGACACTTTTGCTCGATCGTGGCGAATCTGAAAAATAAGGTCGGCGATCGAGATGGTCTTGGAACCTCGACGATTTGCCAGAGCAGTTGCTTGTGTCAGCTGGTTGTAAATTAGCAAGGGTGTAGACAATTCTATGCGAGTGTGCCTGACCATTTCGATAACTTGCTCTCTCACAATTTCCTCAATCATCCAGGTTGTCTCTGTGCTTGGTTCGGCGGTCTCACCACTCACGAACATCATCTGCCCAATCCAATATATCAGCCTCTGCTTGAACTCTTCTGGGCTTTCAAAGTCATCATCGTCTCTAGGAGTGTCGGAGGCAGTTGGGGTAGCAGAGCTGAGGCTTCCTTCCGTGGACACACTGCCGTCTTCCGGCGTGTCCAGGGCATTTCCAAGTATGAGAGGTCCGTAAGCGTCTCCTTCAGCACCCTCATGTATCTGATCCGCCATGATTGTCTTGAGCTCCGATCATGCTCCAAGATAGATGTGTTTGTTTAAAGGAACAGATCGGCTTTGAACTAGCAGCTGCATGATATTTAAGGCAAATATCATGGAGTTGGGCTTCCCCGTCACTAGGCAGTGAAATCAAGGAGACGGTCCGGTCGATGTGACGGACGTCCATCGCGACGCGACGCGTCTTCGTGGATACAAGTGAAGTGAATGCTTCAAGTGTCCAAAATCGATGGTCCAGATCCATGGCATACTGATCTTCCCCATACGACCGGAAGAGAGGTGATCACTTCGTCTTCAGCCCAGAGGTAGTACTCTAGTATGGATCCTGCTCCCACGCTCCTTCTAGTTCTGATATCCAGGGACTGATTTGTCGGTGTCTCCAAGGGTCCGGTACTATCCTGGAAGGATATGATACAACAGAGAAAGACGCTTACCTGCTGAATTTCCTGCCGGTATTTAGCTGGTCTCTCACCCGCCATCTTGACTACCTTGACTCCTGAGCCAACCCTGTCAAGTTTGTTCGTTCAGCAATTTGTCTGATCTGGCTCTGTTTATTTTTGTTCGAACAGGCTAGGGGTAGCGACCGTGGTGCCTGGGGCCTGGCTCTGATGCTATGAGGATGAAAGAAGCGCTGGTTGATGAATGAACGATGACAGGGATGGCCAGCCTGAGAAGACTGAGGGGGTTGGAAGTGACAATCTGCCCGCTGACTTCCCCGAAGTTGTGCCGCGCCGTCACTGATGTTTTGCCGTTTTGTCCGCGCCCTCCCGACTTATTGATGCTATTCTGTTGTTACTTCTGTCAACTCACTTCACCACGTTTTTCGTGATAATACGCCAATATGCTCTACCTTGTTGGTCTTGGTCTCGCCGATGAGATGGATATCACTGTCAAAGGACTGGAAGTTGTGAAACGCGCTGCCAGAGTTTACCTGGAGGCATACACTAGCATTCTACACGTTGGAAAAGATAAGTTGGTATGTGCAGACACATTTTCCCGTTATTATTTTTTCTTTTGAATCGTTTGTCGCATCTCTCGCTGACACGACTCTTGTCTGACAGTGAAGGTAGGAGTCATTCTATGGACGACCCGTAATTGTAGCGGACCGCGAAATGGTCGAGTCCTCCAGCGACGAGATTCTGGAAGGAGCAGACAAGGCAGACATTGCTTTCCTGGTTGTTGGTGATCCTTTTGGGTAGGATGGCACATCACGCAACTATTGGTCACTTTTCTAACGAGGCTTGCAGAGCTACAACTCACACAGATCTCGTCCTTCGAGCCCATGAGCTCTCTATCCCTGTCAAGTCGATCCCCAATGCCTCTATTCTCAATGCCATTGGTGCAACTGGTCTCCAGCTCTACAATTTTGGCCAGACTGTCTCCATGGTTTTCTTTACCGAGAATTGGAGACCAGCCAGCTTCTACGATCGCATTCAAGAGAATGCCTCAATCGGCTTGCACACTTTATTGTTACTGGACATCAAGGTGAAAGAACAGTCACTTGAGAATATGGCAAGAGGAAGAAAGATCTACGAGCCTCCCCGGTACATGACTGTCATGCAGTGTGCCCAGCAGATGCTGGAAATAGAGGATGAGAAAAAGCAACACGTCTATGCCGAAGACAGTTTGGCCATCGGCTGTGCGAGAGTCGGTGCAGATGACCAACAGTTTGCTTGTGGAACACTAAGAGAGCTATGTGATGTTGATCTAGGCGCTCCACTCCACAGCCTCGTGCTTCTTGGTAAAAGAGCGCACGAGTTGGAGAAAGACTACATCAAAAAGTTTGCTGTAAATGCAGAGACTTTTGAGCAGAGTTGGAAGAAGTACCATGACAGGAGCCAATGAGGTTCGACCGTGCTCGTGTGGACGAGGTGGACAGACTCTGATACACACGGTGAATATACGCCGAGCTCGGGGCTGTACTGGGCAAACCCACCAGCCAAGCGTGAATATTCGCGCTCATTTAGGTCTGTTGCTAAGTTTGCAGTTCTCAACAACCATAAGGTTGACGGCGATGGGAAGATCAAGCCGTTCAGGCGCAAGTGCCTCTTCAAGGAGTCAAGGAGTGCATTAAGACGCAACCTTCACCACTCTACTGGCTGACTTCAAGTTGGGTTGTCTCTACCTCAATTGCCTGTTGTAGACAGGGCCATGTGTATCTGGCAAAAGTGAATCATAAGGTCAGCCTGCGCGGGACCGATCCTTGACAAGAACGATCTCTGACAGCGAGATGAATGCAATTGGTCCGGTGATTAGATCCTAGGCCAGTGACTATGAAAGTCAGACATGTCGGTATGTGAAGATACATAGGCAAAGCGAAGATTGTCCCTGCATTGGGTTAGCAGGAGGTTGGAATACTCTCTGTATTGGACCCTCACCCGTCTCGCTTGATAACAAGGCTGCAAATAAGGAGGAGGGGAACAAGTAGTCGACGGTCGACGGGCGGCAGTAGCACCGCTTAGCACGTGGTTTAGGCTCGATGGGAATCGTTTCCCCGATCCCCTCGGCCCTGGACGATCTCTTCTCGTAAGTTCCTTCCACACTTGGCCCAGCTTTTTGGCGGGCTGCTGCAGCTCTTCTGTTGTACATTGCACCCACATTGTGCGACACAGATCTTGTGTTCTGCCCTAGTACTTGACGGGATCGGTGTGAGAGAACGGAGTAAGGAGGAGTCCCTGGCTTGTGCCCGTACAAGCAGCAGTCTTCAACTTGTTTCACCGACCGAAACCAAACAGGACGCATTGAAACATGCCTGTACATCGACTACTACTCAACATGCTGGCTTATCCACATTTACGTGTATATGTCTAAGCTACGCATCGTTCGCTTTCAGCAAAAGCAAAACCAACAGTCATCTCCGCAGTGGCTTGGCCTTCTTTGTATCGCATTTCCCACGACCACCGCCGAACCCCACTCCTTTTGATCGTACCAACGTCCTACCCATCCTGCCGACCAGAGTTCCAGAGGCTGTCGTTTCGCAGCAAAGTGAAATTACCTGCAGGCAGGAAAAGAGAAAACAATGCCCGTCTACCTTGTCCATGGCTTCCGCTGGCCGCGCGAGGGCTTCACGGGCATCCGTGTACATGCCGTCCTGCACAACCTCGACGATTGCAGTGTCGAATACATTCAAAACTCCAACTCGCGCGAAGAGATCCTGCGTTCCTTTCGCGAGATATACCCCGAAATAATGAAAGAACTTGACCACACCGATGTGAACCCAGCAGCGACGAGGAGGTTGGAATTTATCGAGCAATACAATCCGGACGACCTGGAGGGACCCTACGCGGTGAGCCAGCCGTATGCTTTTGTGGGAGACAAAGTCGTGGTGATCGCGGCAGGACCAGGAATGGGTTTGGCTGGACCTGGTGTAGCGCAGGCAAAAGCATATCACCATGTTGCAACGGAAGTAGACCCTGCCCAGTCTCCGCAGAAGAAACAACGCGCCACAACGTTGCCCATGTCCAAACCGGCACCCTTCAACTCGCCAGCGGATACCACGGCGCTGAGTGTCAATTTGGATGAGGTTGTCGCCGACGGCCCTGGCCTAACGAATAAAGCGTGGGAAGCGCTAGCAGATCTGAGAGACAAGATCGCAGAGGGGGAGAAGATCGGATGGTGGGTCGTCTACAACGGTGACCCAGAACGCTCGTTTGATGATGCTGAAGACGACGAGGACGAGCAAGAAGACGAAGAAATGGAAGACGTGGCCGAGGAAGATGAAGACAGAGAACAAAAGGAAACTATCACTCCTGTTGCTTCGCCTGTTGCTTCTCCTATTTCGCCTCCTCCGCCTGTCGCTGCTGCTGCTGCTTCCGCCTTTACTCCATCGAAGAGAGGACATCGTCCCACCCCCAGCGACTCACTTCCAATTCCCACATCCACCATGACGAATTATCCAACATCGAATCCGTCGGTCGCACCCACCCATGTCGCATCACAACATATAGCCTCCCAACAGAAGCAGCAACAGTCTCCGCAACAGCCGCAGCTTCAGTATCAAGACGGAGGCTCACCGGGCCTGACGGCCTTACCTGTCCGACCCACACCCCCATCATCAACGGGACCCGGGACGCGGCCAAACACAGCATCCGCAGCCTCGGAGGCCAGCAAGGGCAAGCACAGGGAAAAGGAAAAGGACCTCCTGGAAGATCCGACCAGAGCCAAAGACGCATCCAGGCCGCAGGGGTTGAGAAAGAAATTCTTTGGAAGAAGGACATGAACGAATCGTTGTCCATGAAAATTAATGAATTGACGATTCTGACGAATACTAACGCATGATGCACGGAACCGCGAGATTGAAAATTTCAATAGACCAAAAATTGGATGGATTCCCATGAACCGACATTCACCTTGAAGCAAGCCGTTGATTGTCTATGTTATTACTTTGGATTTTTGACAAAAATGTCCTGCCTCGCATCACCATGCCGGAATCAGGCAAGATAATATTGGCGGGAGGACTGGCTGTGCTTTCCTCCAGGAAGCGCAGGTAACATTGCCACCCTGGATCAGGCATACAAGCTGCCTGACTACAATGATGACACTCGTCATTTATCATATCGAAGCGTTTGTATCGGGACGCCATCCTGCTACGCGTGTCTCGAACTGGTCGACGGCCTTGGCTTAGGGCTGCCATTCAAGCACGGAATCAATGCCTTTGGGACTACAAAGTGGTCCACAACGCGGCATGGAGACACGCACTTTTCGGGTTGAAAGGGGGGAGATAGTACGAACTTACCCAGCTCCTATTTTCTAATCACTCGAGGGCCAAACTCTACCAGACAGGTCCAAAGTGGATTTACAGCAGACCAAGGGGATCTGTCCAGCTGCAAGAGACGCTAGTAGCATGCGATCTGAACGTGAACGGGGTTGGATGCCTTTGGAATGTCTCGACCACGCAACTTCGGAGCCAGATAGAGCAGGTAAAACTCACCTACGGAAGCTGGAGGACGTTATGCGCAGGGAAAGCTGGTGGAAGCAGAGTCTGAGTCGGAGAACTCCTGAGACCATGAAGTGAGATGTTTCCTCGTTGATGGCCAGCCTCAAATCAGTACTGTGAAAATAAAAGGTCGAGAGTCGGTGGTGTCCTTCGGTCCGATTTGGAGTAACACAGAAGACGTCCAGACTATGACCTTATGAAGTTCTCTCGGGTATCAAATGGCTTTCATGTCGTACCTCTGTCATGAAGGTCCGAAACAGTAGGGGGTTGTCCCATCCATTACAGAAGGAGTCCACGCAGAGAAAAGTTGAACCAATCCGGCTTTGAGATCCTTTCCCATAGTGCAAAGCACTGAAGTTGCAACCGAAATCACCGAAACAATTTTGTTGTGACAATCTTCCGCGCAGTGGTCACCCGGATCCGACAAGTACAGAGTAAGTGACCTCCTGCGGCATACAAACTTCCTTTGGCTCCTGCATTGTCATGGCCTCGTCTGTCTCTCAAACCAGGAAAACTGTGCTGCTTTTCCGGTCTTCCTTGAACCTGGAGTGGTTAGATGTTTAAGAGATCCTTGTGATCCTCGCTAGTATCGTCGATCGTCGTAGCCACCATAGCCACCTGGATAGCCGTAGCGTGGAGGTGATCTGGGCCTGCCGTACGGATCACCACGCACGTATGGATCTCCATAGCCTCGGATTGGTGGCGGTGGCGGGCCGCGAGGATCATAAGGATCCGGATCGTATCTCCTCGGTGGTGGTGGTCCATAGTCCCGTGGCGGCGGAGTGCGCCTCCCATAGCCTCGGTCATAATAGTCGTCAATGGGTGGGCGACGTCCAGGCGAGCGTTCACGATAGCCTCGAGGGCTCCAGCCTCGTGGGTGAGGTCCGCGGCGATCGTAGTCATCACCGGGTCCGTATCGGCCTCGAGCCGGAGATCTCTGTCGATAGGCGCGGTTGTCTGGTCTTTCCTCTTGAATCTGGGCGAACATGTTAGGTGACATTACAAGGGGCAATGGCAGGTGATACGTACGTCGGGTGTACAGTGAACAATCGCTCCCTTAAATGTCTGTCCATCTAGTTTCTCCACAGCAGTCTTGAGGTCGGACGAGGTTTCGAATTCCACAAACCTTGGGCGAATGGTGAGCAGATGCAGATTGAAAAAGAAGGTCTAGATTACCCTTTGCCATCACGGTCACGGCCAGTCTCGGAGTAGACGACGTCCAGTTGGCCCGAGCTTCGTGCAAAGTCCTTGAGGTCCTGGAAGATGGTGAGCAGGTTTCTGCGCAGGATAGATCGAATGAGGAAGCAGGATGTGGTGAGAGGCAACGCCGAACAAGATCTTCTCGACCAGCCAAAATATAGAGCACCCCGAGCTCAACGCATTATCTCCCAGGAACAGGCATCATGAAATCTTGACCAACTCCAAGGAATGGGTACCAAGATTCAAGGTGTACAGAAGTCTCATCGGTAATCTCTAATCCAAACGGAATTGTGCAAAATTGCAGCAGAATGGGAATTCTAACCTGCCAACTGGTGTCCGGCTGCAGTCCAGTTATCTGCATGCGAAAGACGGTGCGACGTGGTCGAGGGACGTTGCGATCAGAAGGACCAGCGAAGTCATCTTTCCGGCGCGGGCCTCTAGCAAACTGCACAGTGAGACGCTCGCCTTTGAACATGGTTCCATCTATTGTCTTGTCAGGAAGGGCCGTAGGAGGAGAGTGAAGAACAGGAGAGGGGGGCCATACGGAACGCTGTCAGAAAGTTAGCGCATTAACATCGGTCTGTTGGTAAAGAGGGCTTACCTGGAACAACATCTCGCGCATCCATAGCGTCCTCGTACTCAATAAAACCAAAACCATTCATGAGCTTGATCTCTTTAATAGAGCCAGTGCCATGAGTGCCAAAGTGCTCCTCGATGTCCTGTTTAGTGACTGGAAAGGAGAAACTGAGAGTCAGCGACTGGCGCAGTCCCGGGACAGGCGGTGAGCGGGTCCGGATTCAATGTTTAGGGTTCAGCTATCCTCCAAGCATGTAAAAGTGTCCAGGAAGACCAAAAGAGGGAGAACGGATGGATGTGAGCATACTGTTGCGCGGAAGGTTGCCCAGATAGAGCCGGGTAGACGAAACGTCGGCCATGGTGGACTCGGGCCTGCAAAGAAGTCCGGACGACGATCCAAGCAGGTTGCGACTGTGATACAGTGGTCAAGAGCCGCAGGAGAGACCTAGTTGGCCGACAGGACACAAGCCCAGGTGTAAAGTGAGGCGGAGACGATAGAGCCCAGCAGGGACAGGGGAACCAACAAACAGGCGGGTGTGACGGGGGCGGAAGGTGTGATAGTACTTAAATTGCCACAAGAAAGGGATGTGATGCGACAAGATGGGAGAATTCAGAAAGTGATAGACATGCACCCAGCTTGCGGTTGTGAAGAAGGCAGAAGAAGGTGGGAAGACGAAAGGCGGGAATGTGGAAGTGGAAGTGGGAGTGGGAAGGTCAAGTCGCGGTCTAGTTTGCAACCTGGGGAGCTTTTGCCTCACTTCGAGGTGGTGGTGCCAAGCCTAACCGCCAACATGGCACCAAATATGGGGTTTGGGGGTTGAGTTGCTGAGTGGCAGCCCATCTTTCAATCCGTTGCACCCATCCACCAGCCAATCACTTCATTTTCCTCCAGCATCCCTTTCGTTTGTCTCTACCTCCTCCGCCAAACACCTTCCAACATCCTCGAGTCTCTCATTGCCTCTCGAGGTCTCTCGAGCTCTCATGTCCGAGAACGCAGACGGCACCTTCTGGCGTTCAGTAGTAGATCAGTTACAAAGTTGCGACGAAGATGATCCTATTCAGAAATGCTTCCCACACGGCATGGGCAAGAATGTGATGGATCAGGTTGACGAACTCTTCAGCCTAGCAGACCAAAAACTCCATACGTTCCCCTTCAAGGATGTCCAACCCTGTTGGTTCCGTCTCTACACTGACGCCAGCATCGCCAAAGTGTTGAAATTACTTGGCCTCCTCACCTCTCCAGCCCAGAAAGACTGGAGCCTATCCGACTCTCTGAAAACTCATGTCAACGGTATTGTGTCCATATTAGACATGTCGTTAATCATGGCCGGAGGGTTGGGAAGGGAACGGATGATTCACGATATCTTTGCCAGGTTACAAACTGGAAGTGTAAGTGACGAAGAAGCCAAGACACGCCCACGAAAGAGAAGGCGAATCGACGGTGACTCTGGGTTGGGCGGATCTCCCGACCATCTCCCTGCAGCGAACGTCTCCATGCCTACCATTGAATTTCCCATTACACAAATGGATTGTCCGACTCTCACAAAGTTCTCTCAGCATATTCTGCAGGTACGAGAACCTGTGGTCTTGACAAATACCATAAATCACTGGCCAGCTCTCGAGAAATGGCAGCGTACCTCCTTTTGGCTCGATGCCACAATTGGCGGGCGTCGTCTCGTCCCGATCGAAGTTGGGCGGAGCTACACTGACGATGACTGGAGCCAGAAGATTGTGCCCTTCGAAGAATTCTTACGTCTCTACGTACTGCAGTCGGGGGATAATGAAGTTTGTGAGGTTTCTGGAGATGATGTCCCAACGGGCTATTTAGCGCAGCACGATCTTTTTAAACAGATCCCAGCTCTTCGAAACGACATTGCAACCCCAGATTATTGCTATCTGGATGCTCCTCCTGCTGAACCTGACACGCCAGTGGCCTTGAGCAAGGCAAAGGGGCACATGAAGAAGACAAGTCATCCCAAGACCACTCATAATGCCCCGGGTCCGCCCGACAACGGTTCTGATGAACCAGAGCTTGAAAACGAGGTCCAGGCAAATATCTGGTTTGGCCCAGCATGGACGATCTCACCACTCCATCACGACCCATACCATAATATCCTGTGCCAGGTTGTGGGACGAAAGTACGTGAGACTGTATTCCCCACATCACAGCAATGCATTACTACCTAGACGCGAAGATGAGCCCGCTCCTCACATACCCTCTGCTGGAAGAACAGGTGGGATAAAGGGTGCCGTAAAGGATGGAGAGCAGCAGGGTGAAACCATTGACATGTCAAACACGTCGCAGATTGACATCGCCGCAATGGAATTGTCCCCTCTCGAAGACTGGGACGAGGTTTACCCCGGAATTAGCAAAGTGCCCTACGTCGAATGTATTCTTGAAGCTGGCCAAGCGCTCTATATACCGATTGGATGGTGGCACTACGTGCGGAGCTGTTCCGTAGGGATATCTGTGAGCTTTTGGTGGTGATGAGCCAAGGACATACGGTGACATTGGTGACATGGCGAAATCAATCGGACGATGATCGGCTTTAGCTAGCTGGGTGGTTGGTGTGCGCCGATCGACTGGAGAGCACAGACCCGCCCATGCGAACAACGAAATGGAGGCAATTCCTAGCCCATCTTTGACCCAGCCGCCACTCCTGAGCCTATCGAGGGATTTTACGCTCTGTTATTGTTGGTCGCTGGGAACACAATACAGGTGGAAGCACACGTGCTGAGCACGCAGGTCCAGACTCCGATATGCAGAAGCCAGGAAGTGCGTCTATTCTGACGATAACGTTCGATGACGAGGGTGTTTCAATGGAGCACCTCGCGTGCTCATCCCTCAAAAGGGAACGCCTAGCTGGAGCTTGACAGGGGGGCCAACTTTTGGCCCTCGATCGTGGGCTCTGGCTGGGTGGGTTGTTATCAGTGAGCTAAGAACCCTACGATCGTCTGCAACCCTGCTTGCAACTATCTTTTGAGCTGTGGGTTATAAAGATAATGATGTCTGCCAGTTGCTGGAGCTCTCGACACGACTGACCGACTTCACGGGCGACTTTTTCTGTGCCGCGCTCTTGCAAACACAGGCCGAGTTCTTGTTCCAAGTCCCACCCCCGCATTCTCCAGGAATACAAGCTCGAAGACTATCGCTGGTTGACCGCGATCCGCCCGAGCGCCCAGCATGACGGACACCGAGAACGCGGGCACTGCCGCCCGGACCATGTCCAAGGATGAAGGCCGTCTGCGCGAACTCGGATACAAGCAGGAACTAAAGCGTGACTGGTCGATGATTCACAACTTTGGCGTCTCGTTCTCTATTATCTCTGTCATTACTGGTATAACGACGCTGTTCAGCTATGGGTTGAATACTGGCGGACCGGGTGTCATGTCCTGTGGCTGGCTGGTTGTTTCGTTCTTCACCATGTTCGTCGGACTAGGCATGGCTGAAATTGTTTCTGCGATACCAAGTGCTGGAGGGCCATACTTCTGGGCCGCAATTCTGGCACCCAAGGCATGGGCTCCGTTCGCGAGTTGGGTTACGGGATGGTTCAATCTGCTGGGCCAAGTCGCCGTCACCACAGGCATCACTTTTGGCTGTGCAGGACTGATTTCCACCTTGGCAAGTATCAACGGTTACGAGCCAACGGCAGGCAGAACTCTGGGCATCTATGCGGCGCTTTTGACCTCGCATGGCATAGTCAATTCGTTTGGCGTACACATTTTGCGGTACTTGAACAACAGCTCCATAGTTCTGCATTCTCTGGGAGTCTTCAGTTTCGCCGTGGCGGTTGTGGCTAAAGCTCCACATCATCAGTCTGCCAAATTTGTGTTTGCCACGTTCTACGATGGCACTGGTGATCCAGGCTGGTCCGTCCGGGCATCTTCAGCTTACGTTGCCTGCATTGGTATCCTGATGTCACAATATACCATTACCGGGTTTGATGCCAGGTAGGTCATCTCTGACGAGGCGACACGGTCCAATACTAACCTGTGATAGTGCGCATCTGTCCGAGGAGACGCAAAATGCGTCCTGGTCGGCGCCCATCGGTGTTCTCATGTCGATTGGCTGCTCTGCTGTGTTCGGATGGTTTCTGATCCTATGCCTTTTATTCAGCATCCAGGATTTCCAAGCCACCATCGGCTCGGACTACGGTCAACCGGTTCTGCAGATCCTGGTCGATGTCTTTGGCAAGACAAGCGCCATCGTGCTCTTTGTCCTGATTATAGTGTGCGTTTGGCACTGTGGTCTGTTCAGCCTGACCTCCAACTCGCGAATGATGTTCAGCTTTGCTCGTGATGGCGGCATCCCTCACTTCTTTCATAAAGTGGATGCACGATTCCGCAGTCCCATCCGTGCTATCTGGCTGGCTGCGACACTGGCATTTCTTCTGGCCATTCCCAGTCTTGGATCATCAGTCGCATTTGCGGCGGCCACCTCGATCGCCACCATTGGCCTCTATCTATCGTATGGGCTTCCTATCTTGATCGGTGTGATCAATCCCCAGGGGTTCATTCACGGGCCTTTTAATCTCAAATGGGCATCACGACCAGTGGCCCTGGTTGCCTGCTTGTGGATTGGCTTCATCACCATCGTTTTCTGCCTGCCAGAGCTCAATCCTGTTAACTCACAGACGCTCAATTACACTCCAGTCGCGGTGGGGATCATCGCGGTATGGTGTTTGGGCAGCTGGTTCTTGTGGGCTAGAAAGTGGTTCAAGGGACCCATTCGACAAGTGGAGGCTGAGGTTGCTGGGGTCAATGTTGATGATCCTGATGCGATGGACCGAGCTGAGCGAGAAGGGAGGATTCCTCAACTCGACGACTCTCAAGGTGGCAACGAGAAGAGCCTGCTGGCCACTATGAAGCAAAATTACAATTGAGCACGAAGATTGGGGGATCATAATCCGAGTGGTTAGGTGTGGTATGGTTGATATGTATTGAAGCTGGATATTGTGCAACGGAGCTTTTGGTTGAATCGTAATGCGACATGAACAAAGAAATACCCAGTCGGTCCTTTTAACTTCCCCTCTAGACTCTCCTTCTACTTTGGTCATCGTGGACCTGGCACCGACATTCTGGGTTCCACTGCCATGAATCCAAACTTTGACCTGGCAACCCACAGCGGGGTTAACGAGGAGGTAAGAGGTGGGGGGACCTGAAGCTGTCCAGGACGATAATCTGTTAAATGTGGCACGTTTGCTTCGTATACTGCTGCCTGATGGCTTGAACTGATGCTGCTGCTGATGATGCCATTATTTTTTACATGAAATCTTCCTATCTGGTGAGAAGTAAGATGGCTCTCGTAAGATGGTGAGAAACCGAAAACGACGTATTCGTAAACATGGTCGAACTCGTTCAATGAGCATTTTTCTTGGTAAATCGTAGGCGGTTTCCAGCCCAAGACCATGGCCCAAGACTATAACCAAGACCCGAGAGGAGAGACCTACAAAACCTAAGGCTCGGGGTACAATGGAATACGAAAAGAAGTGGTAAGTAAGTAAGGAAACCGGGATAAGAGTTTCTTGGTCTGGGCGAGGCATCCCAAGGCATTCCAATCTCAAGGCATCAGCGATGGGATGGCCCCGGCTGGGTACAGATGGGTTCATGTTGGTGTTTGCGTTGGAGACAACTCTCATCTAGCCGAAGAAACCACCACCATGGGGTCATAGAGGATTGGCGTTTGCTTATGTACTTGATGTATTATACCGAGTTATGTCCTAGGTACCTTAGCCGCTCTCTTAGGGGGGGAAGGGTCCCATTTCCGCTCTCGACAGCCCACGAGGAGAGGGGAATTGAGTATGTAATATCTAAGAGAACATTATTATGGGATGCATGTACCTCGTACCGAATCGTAATATATATATCCTATCCTATCTGGCTGCTGACTGCGGGCCGCTACCAACTTTCTTAGAGGGGTTTTTTTTTATTTATCTGGCAGAGAGGGTTGGATTTTATACACCTTTTCAATATACTCTAACAAGACCATTCCGAGACTCGGAGGGATCTGGCTTTCTGCGTGCTCGTGCTCTGGTCGATAAACCAAGGACCTACCCACGCATTGAACACATCATATCACATCACATCACATAACATCGCATAGAACAGCGAGTTGGGCACGAAGTCAGTTAGTTACCTAGGTACATAGGCAGGTAGTTGGTATTATGGGCTCCACCACCGCACAATCCTCCAAGCGGACCGTCACCGACGACGACATCTCGAGTCTCAAGTCGCTGTTGGCGTCGACCAAGGCCGCCGTCCTCACCCCCCAGGATGCATCCTACGCGGCATCGATAAAGCGCTGGTCCAACGCGGCCGAGAAGCCCGCGGGCGTGGTCGTCGTCCCCACCACGGCTGATGAGGTCGCCGTCGCGGTCAAGTTCGCCGCCGACAAAGGGATCGACCTGGCCGTCAAGGGCGGCGGCCATTCGACAGCCGGCGTCAGCAGCACCCACGGCGGGTTGCTGATTGATCTGAACACCGGCATGAAGCGCGTCGACGTCGATCTCGACAGGAAGGTCTTCCTCATCCAGGGCGGCGCTGCGTGGGGGGACGTCGACCAGGCTGGCGTGAAGCACGGGCTTGCCACCGTGGGGGGCACGGTCGCGGACACGGGCGTCGGCGGGCTGACCCTCGGTGGTGGCTACGGGTGGCTCTCGGGCCAGCGGGGCCTGGCCATCGATAACCTGGTCGAATGCACCGTCGTGCTCGCGACGGGGGAGATCAAGAAGGCCAGCGCTCAGGAGAACCCGGACCTGTTCTGGGCGCTGCAGGGCGCGGGACAGAACTTTGGCGTCATCACCGAGTTCGTCCTCAAGGCGTACGATCAGGGCGACGTCTTCGCCGGCATGCTCATGTACGCGCCAACGCCGGAGAACATTGAGAAAGTGGTCAAGGCCACCAACGACCTGTACACGCCGGACGAGCACGGCAAGACCAAGGTCGCCGGTCGGGGCGCCGGCGGGATCGCGTTCGCTCGACCGCCCCCCGCGCAGGGCCAGGTCATGCTGATGGCCGTGGTCATCTACTTTGGCAGCGAGGCCGAGGCCAAGGCGCAGTACAAGGCGCTGTACGACATCGGGCCGGTGGTCGACACGACGGCCACGGTGGCGTACCCGGTCATCAACACGGTGCTGGCGCCGCCGATCGGGCTGCGCGCCAGCATGAAGGGCACGGCGTTCACGATGCCGCTGCGCGCGGGGTTTGTTGAGGAGATCCGCCGCGAGTACACGGCCTTCACCGACGGCAACGACGACACGGGCATCAGCCTCGTGCTCTTCGAGGTCTACGACCCCAGCCAGGTCGTCGCGCACGACGCCGGCAGCTTCGCAAACCGCGGCTGGCACCTCAACGGCATGGTCTGCCCCATCTGGACCAAGCCCGAGCACGACGCCTCCTGTCGCCAGTGGGCCAGGGACTTGACCGCGCTGTTCAAGCGCGAGCTGGAGGACCAGGCCAAGCAGGCTGGCAAAGGGGTGGACGGGGGCGTGGGACTCAAGGGGAACAAGGGCGCCACGATGCTCTATGGGAATTATGACCGTGAGTTTTTGCCTTTTCCTTTTTACCTTGTCCTTTGGTTTTTTGACACTATTCATTCCATAATCTCCATTCTCCCAGCCGGATACCTATATTTAACTACCTGACTAACTAATCCTCGCTTGGTGTGTTAGAATACGACGAAAAATCCCGCGACATCTTCGGCGACAACTACCCGCGCCTGCAGCGGCTCAAGGCCCAGTACGACCCAGGGAACGTGTTCAACAAGCTCTTTGCGGTCACACCGCAGGTTTAATCCAGATATATCATAAACTGCCAGAGGGATAGACAGAGGGGGAAGGGAGCGAATAGGATGGAGGGGGGATGGAGAGCAGAAGGGGGGGAAGGGAGAGCAGAAGGGGAGGAAGGGAGGACGATATATAGATAATAATGAAACTTGCAGGAGACATTACTTCATTCGTACAGCCGGCGTATTCCTTTTGGGACTGAATCCCATCATCTATTTCACGTCTGGACTTGTCGCAGGCCTGCCCGGTGCCAGAGTACTGCACTCCCAATGCACTCACCAACACCGTCCTCTTCTGGCGACAAGCTCGAGACGGCCGAACGGCGGGCAAAATCGTTCTTCCACACAATTAGACGCGCTTAGCTTCTTGTTTGTCACCAGCGGTGGGATGATGACTTGATGCAATACATTCCGGCCAGACCAGGGCGGGTTTCTCACTTGCTAGCGGCAACATCTGGTCAAGACTTGAGGCACCTGCGTCTGGCCAGTATATATTGTCTGAATAATTCAATTAGCGAGCCAGGATTAGACCCTGATTTCTGTTCACAAACCTGTGCTCCCGTAACCGGAGCGATGACGGGGTGGCGACGCAGCATTGAAGTCTTGAATTCCAGCATTCGCTGTCTTATCCGAAATGGCACAATTCATGACTGGAGTGCAACCTGTCGATCCGCAGTCGGAGACCCTGCTCTGACCGACACGTATTCTGCCTACCCCTGCCAAAGAATTGCGCAGCTTAGTCATACGGTCATCTAAGCAGGCCATGTATGTAGGAGCTTTAGGTTTTTGGCAATACCATCGTCGCAAGAGCCTGACTTTGGCACTAGGAATTGGGTCAGCCATCAATTTTACACAAGAGCCGAATAATTTTTGGACATACCATCTGGTGATATACGCCCCTCTTCCTGATAAGCTCTGTATGACTTCCCTTCTCCAATAGACGACCGCCCTCGCCCAAGACAAATATAACATCCGCGTTTTGAACTGTGGCAAGCCGATGCGCGACCGCTATCATGGTTCTACCTTTCGCCGCCCGCTCAAAGGCTGCTTGGACGAGCTTCTCGTTCTCTGAATCAAGAGAGCTAGTGGCTTCATCGAGAAGGAGGACCTTTGGGTTGCGAATAAGAGCCCGAGCTATAGAAATGCGCTGCTTCTGTCCGCCGGAGAGAGCGACGCCACGGGACCCGATGTCGGTATTGTAGCCTTCAGGAAGGGACTCGGCGAAGTCATGAATCAAGGCATCACGACATGCGGTATGGAGTTGCTCCTCTGTGATCGTGCTGGGGTCAATACCGAGAAGAACATTGTCTCGAATCGTGCCTGTAGGAGTCAGTGCTGAAGAATATAGTTGGGAGTGGGAAGAGTGCTGACCTTGGACGAGAAGAGGCTCTTGTGCTACCAGAGACAGGTGCTTGCGATAGGTGTCAACGTCGACATCCGAGATATCCTTCCCATTGAAAAGGATCTGACCCTTCTCTGGCACATAGAATCTCTCCAGTAGGGATATAACGCTTGTCTTGCCGCAGCCTGACGACCCAACTAGAGCTGCGAACTGTCCTTTCTCGATAGTCATGTTCAGTGCGTCGAGGACGGGCATCTTTCGAGACGGATACCTTAGCCGAACGTCACGAAACTCAATTTTGATGCCACCTTCTGTGTCAGGAATATCGTTCTTTTCGGGTTGCTCCCTCAAGCGCGTTTCTCTTGCGTCGAGCATGCGGTTTGATGCAGCCGTCGCTTGGGCAGCGTTGGGACCGAAACTCAGACTTTGGCCAAACCCTTCCGCAGCATTCATCATTGCCATCAAGCACACGAAAAACCCCAAGATACCAATCTCTCCGTGCTCGAGAAGTCGGCCACCGTAGTAAAAGATGAGCGCCTGACAGCCTAAAGTCGCACTGTCAGCGAATCCAAGAATGATACTGACCCAACGTGCTTTCTTGAATGCAGCAAGGACATGGTCATTGCAAAGCTTCTCGAAACGACTTAAGATTGAGCCTTCCAGGTTTAGAGATGTCACTGTACGGAACGCGCCAACTGCTTCGGAAGCAAATTGAGAGCTCTCGGCGAAAACCGCATCGTTCATCTTCTCAAACAATAGCTCATATCGAAATCGAATGTAGCCCGAGAAGATGCACACTGGCATCACAGCACCCATCGAGACAAGTGCCAGCCTCCAGTTGTAAGATAGAGCCATGACAACGCCACCGATGATGTTACCAATTGCAATACAGACTTGGGCGATATTGGTCCCCAGCATCTGCTCAAGCTTCGATGGGTCGTCTCTGACTCGTGAAACCAATGTACCATGTGAGTGGCCATCCTCGTCGAAGTACGCTGCTCGCTGAAAAATAAGTGACTCGAAATACTGTGTTTGGTACTTTGCCCGGATGAAAGACGCCACACGGCCCGCGGAGGTGAAGGTCAGGAAGTACACGATAGCCGCCGAAACCGCAAAGACAGTCCACATACCGGCCAGGAAATCCACCTCGGTCATAAGCCGAGAGTGGTTGTCCTGGTATTTGAAAAGGTCAATGGACCTGGAAAAGAGCCAAGCGTACAACGGCTGAGCTGTGCCGGCCGCGGCGGACGTGACGATGGAGAAAGCGATGATCCCCCAGTGCGTCTTGGACTCGTAGAAAAACCGGCCAAAACTTCCGAAGAAGCCACGACTGCGTCTGTGCCCCTTTTTGTCATACTCGCCGACAGAACCACCGTACTCGGAATCTAGTCGTGTCGTTTCATGGGTCAGGATGCCAGCAACCTCAGTCTCAAATTCAGACTCGATACCCTCTTGTGCTGAGTCTTTAAGAGAAATGGCTTGAGTGCAGACCAGTCTAGAATAAACTCCGCCCTCGACAGATACTAGAGTCTCATGTGTGCCTGACTCAACGACCCTGCCCCTGCTAAGAACGACAATATGATCAGCATTCTTAATGGTTGAGAGTCGGTGCGCAATAATGATAGTTGTTCGGCCTTTAGCTGCCTTGTCGAGCGCGGCTTGCACGATTTGCTCACCCCGAACGTCAATCGCACTGGTGGCTTCGTCGAGGATGAGGATGGAGGGTTTCTTGACGATCGATCGTGCGATGGCAATGCGTTGACGTTGGCCACCGGACAATCGAGCGCCGGCATCACCGATCTTCGTATCGTATCCCTGGAGCTGTCAGTCACTGTTACTTTATCACTTCTGAGTCCATACATGCGGGAGCTTGTCGATAAATTCATCAGCGAATGCTTGTTGGCAGGCATCTTTAACAAGCTGCCTCTTGCGCTCCTCTGGTTCGCTATCCAACGGAGAAGCAATCAATCCAAGGGCAACATTGTTATAGATTGTGTCATTGAACAAGAAGGGCTCCTGTTGAACAAGTCCAATGTGGGATCGCCACCACTCGACGTCGATGTCATCCAACAAATGACCACAAGTCCTGACCTCTCCTTGTAGGGTGACTGGGGGCTCATTTTCTGGGTCTTTGATCATGGTCAGCTCAACATTGTCGCCATCGCCCTCCTGAGCCTTCTTGTTCTTGTCCCTCTCATACTGTGTCGTCTTGGCGATGGCATGCTGCTGTCTAAGGGTGTACCAACGTTCAATCAGGCCGACGATGGTGCTCTTGCCTGAACCCGACGGACCAACAATAGCAGTAATCTTGCCAGCCTTGATGCGCAGGTCCAGATGGTCTAGGGTCTTGATGTGGGGTCGGCTCGGATATGCGAAGGTAACCTTGTCGAAAACAATATCTTCGGCTGCAGAGACTTCGGGTTCCCTGAGCCAGCCTCGAACGGGCAAAGGAGTATCGATGACGGAAAAGAACTCGCAGGCGGCTAGCGTCGCTTTTCCAATAGCTTGAATAGGTTCCGAAACACGATTCAAGGAAAAGAAGATGGTGGTAAGCGTCAGAAGAACGCTAAATGTATGTTAACTTTTAGAAGTGGTCTTGAAGATATTGATTTTCTTACACCGTGATGACCCCGACGCTGTCCAGTCTATTCTTTGTGAACATCAGAGTGCCATACCAGAAAGTAAGAGCAACGGTTCCGAAGACACCAAAGAACTGCATGAGTTAGATTTGTTTGTTAACATCAGCAGGTTATGTGTTTGTCACCTACAGTCAGAGCGAACTGGGCTGATGTGAGCGGACTAGTAGCTTGAGCGTGCTTCCTCGCCTCCTCAACAAGGACGCCATACTTATCCACGATCTGTCGTTGCGCACTACAAGCCATGATCATTCGAATACTCGAAAAGGCTTCGGAGGCAATAGTTGCGGCTTGAGACTCTGACTTGGCCTGGCGTGCTTGACCTTTGACAGTCATTGGGGTTAGAGTGGATACGATCAACACGATAGCCACGAATCCCGACATTGTGACGAGTGCCAATTCCCAGTTCCACACGAGAGCGACGACGAGGCCGGCGATGATGAGAGAGGTGTACTCGACGACGATACCGAGCTTCTCGGAGACACCAAGCTGAAGGGTATTGCTGCTGGCTGTAATTGTGCCGATGGCATGCCCCGGTGGTAGAGAGTCGAGAACATGGACACTCTGGCCCAAGAGTTGAGTAAGGTAGTGCAGTCTGATGGCGGCCGAAAGTCGGAGTCCAATCATTCGAAAGGCAAACTTGTGGATGGCGCCGAGAACGAAACGAACTAGAAACAGGGCAAAGACGTAAAGACTTCAAACTGTAAGTCGGTAGCTTTGACGAGAGAGAAGGCGAAGGACGTACCAGAGCTGGTCGATATCGTCGCCGAATGCTTCGCCGTTTTGAGTATTGTTTCCACTTTCGAAATCGGTGAATTTAGAGGCAAATCGACCTGCACGAGCATCAACTATGTGCGAGGACAAGGTAGTTGGCATTATCGCATACCAAACAGGACGGACATCAGGGGCGTGGTGACTCCAGCGCAAACCGCAGCCAGCACGCCCACGATGTAAACGGTGATATCCCAGGTGGTTGCGTAAGTGAAGATACGCTGGAGGAGTCAGCGGATAGACAGTATTCAAGATAAGGAGCAATCTGACGAGGTAGTCTTTGAACGTCGCCACGCGTTCCAACTCGAGACTTCTGTTGATTGTTCCTTCTGGGGGAAAGTCATTGGAGGTCGCTGCGTGTGGAGCAATACGCTGTCTGCCAGGCGGGCCTTGTTCGCGCATTGTGTCACAATCGTCGAGACGAAGAGAAGCCGATTCAAGCCAGAGTTTCCAAAGGGCTACCAACATATGGTCGGGTACGAGAGTACTAAAGGAAAAGAGGGATCTTCAAGGCAATATATGCAATGTGGTCGAGCCAGGGGACAAGTTCATATGGCCCGCCTGCGGGTAGTGGATGGCAACGAGGGACTATTTAATCACCCACTGTAGTGCTAGCCACAAAGCCTTTACCAGTAATGTTCGTTTTTTTCCTCCTTAAATGACTCACAACAATCGACATTCTCTGGCCCCTATTATCGCGGGTGTAGTATTGAAGCTTGAGGCAGCGGAGAGCACAAAGACCTCCGCGACCGACGGTGACAAGGCGGAAGATGTGATTGGTTCCTTTTTTGCCCCACAACACGGGCTCTCACAAGGCCGCGTTCGTTCGGAGCCCTTTTTGCCCTCCGCCCCGACGTCAACGAAATCTTGCTTCCCACGCAACGCAGATTCAAAGCCGCCTTCGAGTGTGCAACTTTACTCATTGTGGGCTCGTAATTGCTGCTTGCTGGGCCTGCGATAACGCTCAACCAACTAGACATGGAGAAGACTCGCGCCTGTGTCAATTGCTCCCGAGCCAAGACAAAGTGTGTTTGGCCGTCCCCGCGTCACGATGATGGCGAGGTCTGCGAAAGGTTTGTCGTTTGCACTCTGTACCTTGGTCCAACTAGCATTGATTATTGTAAAGGTGTTCCCGAAATAATCTCTCCTGCTACCAGGTATATTCTGTGTCCAAGAAGAGGCGGGGCAAGGCGACGTAAGTCATCTGGCGAAGGGGCTGTGGCTGTCCTTACGCCGTGGAATAAGGACTGACAATACACATGCACAGTCATGCAAAAGTCATTGAACAAAAGTTGGACAATATTATGATGTTATTGAGTCGAGACCGAGAATGCGCAGTTCAAGCCGACCGAGCAAATGCACAGACAACCTTTTTCACCGGTGGCCTTCCACCAGCGACAACGCAAGCGTTGTTCCAAGATCAAATTCCAGTTCCTTCGATGCAGCCCCCTGACATATCACTTCCAGCACGATCTGGCTCGGTGTCAATAGTCTCGGGCTTTCAATTTTCGTTCTCCGAGGCGAATCAGGTCCTCCAAGAATACATGATAGCCATGGTCCCTCAGTTCCCGTTCGTCCCTCTACCTTCTCACGACGCCTACGAGATGTTCAAGGACAAGCCGTTCCTGCTGAAGACCATTTTGTGGGTTTGTCGGCCTCCGGGGCCGGACGCTTCCGCTGCATTTGAGAGCTGGTTCCGGCAAAATGTCGCGCATCAGACTGTCGTCCTGATGAACAAGAGCTTGGATGTTGTCCAAGCTATTCTAGTGTTTCTCGCCTGGTACGGATCCCAATCCCGCTTAGAAAATTTTCATGTCTTCCGTTGCCAGAAATTGACAGATTGCGTTACTAGGAAGGATATCTATTTCTATGCGGCCGCCAAGGATACAAGCCTTCTGCAATTGGCCGTGGGTTTGGTGGAGGATCTTGGGCTGAACAAGCCCCAAAGTCTTACTGCGAATTCCACCCTAGGGTCGATTGTTGAGGAGGCGGCTCAGCTGAGAAACGATCTTCCGCCCCAACCTAGGCAAACCGGCGACAGTCATCGGGCGGCCCTCGGGGTGTATTATATGTCATCCACGTGAGTCTCCAGCCTCTATGTCCCGTTCTGCACAATGCTCATCACGTCCGCTTTAGCCTGTTCAGCCTTCTCGGCAAGCGGAGTAGACTCGAATATGCTCCTCACTTCGACAATTTCTGCACTCAGATCATGCGGGAGCAAGAATATCCTACGGACTCATTATTGGTGAACCTTGTGCGCATGCAGCGGATTGCGGTTAAGGTGCATGATACTTTTAGGGACATGATCGAGGTCACCAATGACAGGCCTTTTCAGGATGTCGACTCTATTGCCGTCGCTTCTATTCGAAATGAGTTGGATGTATTAATGCAGCAGTTACCAGACTCTCTCAAGTGGAATCGTACGTCTGCCACCACGATCACGCGGGACAAACGCTGACATCTCTATCTAGATCTCTTGCAAATGCTTAGTGCTGCTGTACGCATCCGTTTGTACGAGTCCTGTAAGTCTGGCGACAAGGACGGAAAGCTTGGACCTACACACCTGAGACGTCGTATGATGTGGGACTGCTTGGAGAGCGCGAAAGTGCTCTGCGACGGGTTCTGTTTGGTCCCAGTCGAATCGTTTCCCTTCCTGACGTGCGTGCCCATCCTTCAACTCGCGTTAGCCATCATCAAGGCCTTGAGACTGCTCTGCGTGGAAGATTATGCCTGGGACGTGGAGACCGCGCGAACGACCTATGACCTCCCGGGTGCTCTGCAACAGCTGAACAAACTCTTTGAGACAGCCAGTGGCCTCAGGAGTCCTCGATGTAGCACTCTCCTCCACGGCCGGCCCATTTTCTCTCAGTATTCCGAAGCATATCGAGATATCGAGCGCTGGTATCTGTCCAAGCTAAATCCGAGCGTCGCTCATTCAGATTCGGTATTGGAGCAGCCAGCAACCGTGCTTCATGCGGCACAGTATGAAGGTCTAGAGTTTTGGACTCAGTTGGAGGATTTGACGTACGGGCTAACGCCCTAAAAGCAGCACGCGAGAGCATGCTAGACGTCGACCAATCCTTATCCGATGATGACGAGGATAGTCCACACACTGGTTCGATCTTTGCAGACTTAAAATGTAAGTATCGGACCGATTGAGCGCAGGCTATAATAAAAGCAGGCCAATTCAATCCAAAGGAGCCATTCACCACGTTCGGATCAGCATTCTCGCAGCGTACAATAAAGTCTCGCGAGCACCAGCACGACTTGTGCCCGAGGGGGTAAGGGATCCACATAGCGTATCGCGCATTCATCATCGGCGTCGATAGAATGTTCTACACTGGTCAATGATGGCACGAGCACCGCGAAAGCACCGAGGCCGAAAACAGAGCAGTCTCTTTCGATCCAGGCGAGTGGTCATGCCAAGCATGAAAGTCGTGAGGAAGGTCGAACGAGGACTGTCGACAGGCACCTTTCAGCTCATCTTGGAGCAAGACTAAGGCGCGTTGGCGTTGCTCCAGACAAAGGGTGAGATTGGGAGTGTCGAAAAAAGGCCTCGAACCTGGCGCTGACGCTCTGGATGGCATGGACCAGAGAAGGACATCTCACAAGATGTTCGACGACGGGAAAGGGAGAGTGGAGTATCGTTTCGGATCAACGACCACCATCTGGCAACTTTTCTCCACCCCAAGCTGGAGTAGGAGCTGATTGATATTCGAAAGACCACATAGGGGGTTTATCATACGGCCCGTAGCTAAGCCCTGGCATCTCTACTTGCCATTGTTTCAGACGAGGTGTCGCCCGACACACAGAGCCTCGCAGCTGACACCGGTGGTATATGGGATAGTCCTCGTCACATTTCACTCGCCGCCGCGTCTTGCATTCTAGGCAGCCGGGATTTACTTTTTCAACGCTTCTTTGGCTCGAGAAGACCTCGCTCGTTCCCTCTAGAGAGTTCGGGATCTCGATGAAATGTGCGGAATGATTGGGCACAGCGAGATGGGACCCGGAGAGCAGCGATCATGGCGGCTTGCTGCCACGGGTGAGCTTGGCATGTACGTGGTCCGAGGAAGGTTGCCCAACAAAGAATCTCTGTCAGCCTTGAGGCGGAGGATGATTATCTAGGAATTTGATCGTGAAGAGAGGACAGCGTTGATTGGCCAAGGATCAGCTGGGGGGTCATATTCAGTTATGGAAGCTGGCTGGTGCAGTCTGGTGATGTCGGGGAGCTGATAGGTTGCTGTCGCTGATAATGAGGCTCGAACAAACTGCTCTCCACTTAGCAAGACAGATCAAATGCGTTCTTTACTGAAAGTTAGACAAACGTGCGCCACCAACACAGCTTTAGCTCCATGAGAAGTTGACCGGCCTCGGGGTATATAATATATATATATATATATATATATTCTATGACTACGAGGCTCTACTTCTTAAAAGGATCTATCTATCTTGGTAAAGTATACTAACACAACCCTTCCAGTAATAGTCATGTTGTCCCATGTACAGGACGTTGGGCTGGTCAGTCTTGACTCTTTGTTGTGGAACTCGACTCATTCTATCTCTGACGAGGAAGGCGACTCGCCGATCTGCTTCGAACTTATCTGTTGAATGTATCTCCAGTTAATGGATTCATTCTATCAAAGATGACTCATTATCCACGGCAGACATCCATGTTTTTTTTTTCCGGGCAGGGACATCATCTCGTAATCCTCAACGTCATTCCTGATAACAGTCTCAATCTCAATGTAGTTCAATGCTTAACCACAATCTTGCCGCCCGCGTCATGACTGTCCATCAATGCATGCGCCTTCTGTATATCCTGGTATTCAAACACATGTGTCGGCCGTGCGTCCCACTCCCCCCTCTCGATTTTGTCCGCAATCTCTTGCAGGGGAATCTTCTCCATGGGAAAATCTTCCGTGCCTAGCACTTTGCTGTGGAATAGGCTAAAGTGCACGCCCGGCTCCATCTCGATCATCGGGTTAAAATCCTTGACGGGCGCGAGCCCACCCAGCCATCCGGCCTGGAGCATCCGGCCCCCAGCGCGGGTGAGGCGGAGGGAGTCGAGCAGGGCGACGTTGCCAATCAGGTTGAGCGTCTTGTCGAATTTGTGGTCTGGGAGGAAGCGCTGGCTGAGCGGGTTTTCCTCGAGGACCGCGTCTTCCACGCCCATCCTCGTCAACATGTCGAACCGCTCCTGTCGTCTCGTGGTTGCTGTCACTTTAGCCCCCGCATTCACCGCGAGGTGAACTGCCGCTTGACCGATGGTGCTTGTGGCGCCGCGGATCAGGACCCTCTCGCCCCTGCGCAGGTCGAGGATGGTGAAGAGGCACGAATACGCCGTGGAATACACCTCGGGCAACGCGGCCAGTTGCTCCCAAGAGAGGTTGGTCTTGATCTTGACCACGTTCGCGACGGGGACGTTGACGAACTCGCCATATCCACCTGGTCGATTCCGACCCATGCCACCCATCACTCCGACCACCGTGTCGCCTTTCTGAAACTTGCCCAAAGGGTCGGCCTCTACAATGCCCACGCATTCGAGGCCGGAGATGGGGTTCCATTCGTCCCATTCGCCCTTGCGCATGTGCATTTCGGCGTGGTTCAGGCCGAATGCTTTCACGTGGACGAGCACTTCGCCTGGAGTAGGAGCGGGTTTGGGAACGGTTTTGTGGTGAAGGACTTCTGGACCTCCAAAGGCGGTGATGACGATGGCTTGCATGGTTTCGGTGTCAGACATGGCTGTGAGTAGAGTGTGCTCGACCAGCTAAACTGTACAAGTTTTGGTTATGCTAGAGACAGTGATTTGATGTTGAGACTCGATTTAATTTTCCACTAGATAGGTGATCCGGTAGTTGACTGCGTGGTCTTCCATCCTGCCAAAGGGGTGCTCACTCACGCATTTATACCTTTTGTTCGTGCTCACCAGGGCGTATCCTACCAACACCCCCATTAACATACTGCGCGGCACAGTACAAGCCCTGGAGTCATGAAATGTAAACATCGATGGATGTGCAAGGATGAGACGTTGCCCATTTCGTAACAAGCGCATCACAACGGCAGCGAATGCAAATGCAGCGACCAGCATCTAACCCAGTGATAGGTTCGTCGAGCTGGGTGAGGACCAGCCCAGGACGCGAGGGGAAACCCTGAGTTGCTGGATTAAGAAAATGCTCCATCAGCAAGTAAGGCTGTCGCTCGCCAGACAAGGGGGATTGACACCATTATGCATTACAGCGTGATTGGGGAGGATGTCCGGGGAGATGGTGTGTTGAGTTGATTGAAAAGCTGACAAAGGCTGCACTTAGAGAAACTCTAAGCAGAGGATGTGCTGCTTTTGTGGTGACGTAGCAGTTGCGCACCAAGCTAACTTCTTCTGGAAAGCTTCCCGCCTGTAGAAGCACGACACCGCCAAAAGCGGCATTCTGCGCGTATTGAGCTTCTACTAACAATATTGGTGCTGCCTGCGCCGCTTTTGCAGTGAATCACCATACTATGGCTAATGCTCATCTCTTCTCCCTCGTCTACGGAGAGTACTGCATCGCCCCGATAGCTATCTGCCATCATGATTATTTCCCCACGGCCAAATCGAGCAGCTTTGGAAAGTCCGGCGTGCCCAGCCCCGTGGCAGCATCCCAGCCCTTGACCGCCTGCCACCCAGCGCCAGGAACCCCTGGCGCATCGTCACCCGAGTTCGTCACGTTTTCACATCCGCTTGACGACCCTTCCGTGATGTCCGTGACCGCCTTGTTGGTGTAGGCCTTGGTGTAGAGCCAGGGGTTCAAAAAGCCCAGCGGCTTCTGGCCCCGGGACAGTCGGGCCGAGTTGATGTTGGCGATGATGGCGGCCCAGGTAGGCGTGGCGGCACTCGTGCCCCCGCTCAATTGCTCCCGGCCGAGATGGAAGATGGGGAACGTCGTCCATGCCTGCGCAGCCACGTCCGGGATGGCCCTCCCAGTCCGATTGTACAGGCCCTGAAACTTGTTCTTGACGGCGGTGCTGTTCAGATACGTCTCGACGTGCTCGCGCTGGTAGTCCGGCCGGGCGAACACGTCGCTGAAGCCCCCACCAGACATTCGCTCAGCGATCTCTGGCTGCACTTGGCCCGTACCGCCCACGCTCGTGACCCACGGGCAGCTGGCGGGGAACTGTGGCATAAACCTCGTCCGGTTGCGCCCGTCGTTGGTCATGCAGCCATCCCCTGGACCGCCGTCACCGCTGGAGGTGATGACGCTCACACCGCGAGCGCCCAGCTTGGCGAACAACTGGCACACACTGAGCATATAGGACACGGGGTGGGTCTGCTCGTCTTCCCCGTACGAGATGCTGATCACCTGCGGTAGTTTGTCGTTGGTTAGATTGACCATGTACTGCAGATACTCCAAGAACGGCTCCTGCTCGTTCAGCACGCCTGGTTTGTCTGGCAATTGCAGGTCGGGAATCCACGGGCCCCTGCCGCCGACCTTGTAAAAGTCCACCGGCGTCGGATACGAGAGCGTCAGACCGTACTGGACATCCATGTTGGCTTCTGAGGCCCAGTCCGCGTCGGTGGATTGGTTGTTGACGCCGCCATTCACGGATGTGATGGAAAAGTTTGCGCCTCGCGCGTACGGTGCCCATTTGTCCACGAACAGGGCCAGATCGGATCGGAGCACGTTTTGGCTCGCAAATGCGGGAATCCCCAATCGCGAGCCGGAGCTGGCGTTGGCACGGAAGTTGCCTATACCATACAGCGCACGGATACAGTCGGGTGAGGTGGTCGTGTTGCAATACGTCGCATTCAGTTTGGTTGGTGATCCGTAGACGGGGATCGAGCTCGCCGGAGGACCGGGTTGTTGGGCTGCCCGCGAACGGGCGAAATGGGTTGTCGGCTGGATCGTTTGGATGTGAGCATGAAGCCTGTCAGGGACGGAGTATTCGAGGGTGCGAATCCGCCAGCTTTTGTCTCCTGCGTGGTAGAACAAGAAGAAGGTAGTGTCAAGGAGACTCTCTGCCTGCATGACGGTGGTGTTGACGTTGATCCAATCCCCCTTGTCTTGCACG